TCAACACTGGGCATATACTATGCGGGCTGCTGTCAATATGTATATAATGATGTATTGGAGTTGTTTTTCCATCTTTAAATTTATTATACCCAAAAGAAATAGTTCAGGTTTGAATTCAATTTGTACCTTAGTTATCTCCTGTATCCAGTTCCTTATCCACTCCCAATAGTTCTTTGCTTTAGGGCACAGCCACCACATGTGATAGAATGTTCCTTCCTTATTTTTACATTTCCAGCATTCCGGATTCATGGGAAACCTTCCCCTTTTTTTATTGAAGTTGATTGAGAAGGAGATTGCGCAACAATATCAGAGGGCCCTAGATAGAGCAGATTATCTAGATCCATTTCTATCAGGATTCAGTCTTGGGAATGGGATGGAAACGGTATTGGTCACATTTTGGAATGATCTTTGCCATGAGTGGGATGGTGGTTGTGCATCCATCCTTGTCCTACCTGGCCTCTTGGCAACTTCAGTACCATCAACCCTGATATCCTTCTGGATCGAGTCAGAGGACTGGTGTTATGTTAGTTTGCCTCCCTTCCTAGGAGTCAATTCCAGTTAATGGTGATTTGAGGGGAAGAGATCTTGCCCTCATCCCCTGCTGTGTGGGGTGCTGTAGGGGTCAGTCTCTCTTAGCTCCTATTTAACATCTACATAAGGCTACTGGGTGAGCTCATCCATTGCCATGGATTGAGATATCATGAGTATGCTGATTATACCCAATTATACATCTCTGCTTCTGGCAAAATAAGTAGTGGTGTGCATGTCGAAACTCAGTGCTTGGAGACTGTGAAAATGTGGATGAAGCCCTACATGGCATGGGGTCAGGTTATTTGAGGGACCACCTCTTCCCAATTACATCTGCCCATCCTATCAGATGCAGCAGAGAGGGTATGTTGCTGGTCCTGTCAATTAGGGAGTTTCAGTTGGTTGAACCTAAGTGGCAGACAAATTCGCTCTGTCTTCTGCTTTATGGAGCATCCTTATCCCTAAAATGAGGCTGGCCTTTTTTGCTTTCCAGAGGGCCCTCAAGACCTGCTTGTATCTGCAAGCTTGAGAACTTCGGGGGACTGGTGAAATCTTGAGATAGTTCCTGGGTTATTAACACCTCCTCTTCGCCTAATCTCTGTTTTATTCTGTGCTTTCTGGTGTGGCTTTAATAATTTTAAAGTTCAACAATATTAAAATTGATTTCTATATTTTATTTTAACTTTGTTGTATGCCACCTAGAGTCACTTGATGGTGAGATGAACAGCAATGTAAATATGATGAATAAATACATAAATAATAGAAAAAACAAATGATTTCTTTACTAAGGTAAGCCATTTATTGAAATGCATTGCTAGTTAGTATGTTTATGCTTGCAATGCTATTTCTAATGTGCAGAAGGAAACATTTCACTGCCACTAGAAGATCCTATTCAGAACATTGAAGCTGATTTTCTCTTTGGCAACTTCTTCATGGCACAAATGCTCAACAAAGAAGACTCATCAAGTGCCCATGGTCCTTCAGTTCTTGACTTCCTTCTATGGGTGTCTAAAAGGACCATCAATGAAAGGTGGGGGGAAACCAGGAAAATTGAGTCTCCCCATACACATATCTTTTTATTATGTATCAGAAGCATCCATGCATACAAAAATGATGGGCTTTAATCATCTAGCCCAACCCACTGTTTGAACACCCTCCAGTATATCTATCTATAACATATCAATTTCAGTATAGTCACAATGGAGCTCACCATGCATAGAATCCAAATGAAAACTTATTTGAGAAGGCAGAATAAAACATAAACATTTGTTTTCCCCCCCCCCCCCCCATATATCCTCTTCTAAGAATTTTGTGGTCTTAAAATGTTAATGCCACCAAGCAGCTAAATTTACCATTCCATAGACATTTTATGTGTTATGCTTATTTTAACTTCTGGAATACGTCACAACTTCTCCATTAATTCTTCTCTTATCATGCTTTAGAGAAAATAATTTCTGGCATAAACAAACTTTAAAAAATTGTCTTTGAGTAATGAGGTACAGTATTCTAACAGTAGGGATCCCTCCAACTATATATATCATATGTGACCTAAACTTCTCCAGATTTTGGATTTCATTTTCCACTTTTCATTGACTTGTTAGGTGAAGGCTGGAATTAAGGATCCTCTGTGGTCTGAGAGATTAGAGGTTCTCTAGATATACTCGATTTACTGCTTCTAAAGTGTTGAATCTCGCTCATCCATCTAATTTGGTTGTGACTGAGGTTTCAAGTTCCTCTCCATGGCTTTCCTCTTCCTTAAAAACTTTCTCAAATATCACTCTGATTATCATTCTAGATGGTCTTCGTTTGTCTCTTCCTACCAGAAAATAGATGAGTGGGTTAATGGTGCTATTTAAGGAAGAACAAATATAGGCATATTCATAGACATAAGGATTATCAAACTGGGGATAATAGAGTGAGAGATACTGAATAGCATTCATTGGAAAAGCAAAAAAGAGAAAAAAGAGAAGAGTGAGCAAGATGGTGACCCAAAGTTTTCCTTGCTTATGATGAGAAGGTAGTGAACAGGTTTTCAATGAAAGGGCTATTGTGGAGAGAGTCATTAAAGGAGTGAGAAGTAGGGCATTCAGGAGAAATTGGTAGAACCTTAGCATATAAAATCCAGTTGTTAACAAGAGGATGACATGTAGAGAACAAAATAGGAAGTTGAACACCCATATCATGTTACATATAATGGTGGACATTTTCTGGGAACGGTGCATTTGATACCAAAATGGGAAAAACACTGCGGTGCACCTGTCAATGCTCATAGCAGTCAAGATGCATAAACCAGTACTGTACATGAACAAGAAAAGACCCCGAAATAATGTCTTTAGTGGATCATCATATTCTATATGATTAGCTTTGGCTATGAGCCAATATACATCAATGGCACTAAGACCTATGAGCACACCAAAGTCAGCAATGGAGAGATTCAAGAAGTAAACTGAGAAATTATTCCTCTTAATGTGAAACCCAAGGAGCCAGATGGTGCCTCCGTTTCCCACAAGTCCCCAAAGGCAGATAACTAGAGTTATGGTGATCATCAAAAACACTCCTAGAGGAATTGTGCCTTGATCTTCTGGAAGACTGGTCCTATTGTGGAAGCTCTCCGTTGCATTGTGTGATGTGTTATATTCCATTCTAGCATTCAGCAAGGACAGCACTAACATTCAGCACGATGGACAGTTATTAATCTGGTGTTCTGATGTATAGAGACTCCTGCTGAGAGAAAAGGATATAGGATATCATTCATATTTTTTCTGATATGGAGCTAAAGAATTATTTCAGCCTGGCCTCACATGGATTAATGAAAACAAATTAAATGAGAAATGGGAAAAAAATCAATGCATTTATGCTTGATGCCACTTTAATATGCATTATCCACAAGTCTTGTTTCTACATGAGTCCTTTTTGTAATGTTACAATGAATGAATCTTTATTATCAAAGTATAACATGTATACAGTGAGATTGGCTGAGCAGATTGAGTTGAAATAAAGCCTGAACTGAATTCATCTGAACCTGAAAATGAAGGTGAGAAACAGCCATTGACTTCAATTGCTATATTAGTTATCAGTGAAATACTTGTGCTTCTCAAATCTGCAAACTTTCCTTCTACCATAAAAGTTCAGGCAGCAGTATAATGCAATGATTAGGCATAGATTTATTCTAAATATTGCTTTCTGTTGTTTTCATTCAATTTTGCACATTGTACAAAATTAATCTGCAGCTTGACTAATATAAAATTAGCATTTCATATGTATTTGTTGCATTTGCTCTTAACACATCAAGAAATGTTTCTCCTTCAGCTAAGCTATCTATCTAGAACTCTTTTTAAATCACCATCGTGTGTATATAATCTGAGGATGAGGATTGTAAGTGAAAATTTCCATGCTTCATACCCAAACTTTTTATGTACTCCAAAAACCATTCCTTTCCTCTTAAAACAAGGAAACAATTGTACTAGGTATCTTATGTTACATCACCAGAGATCTCCCATTAAACCACCTGCATTGGAGCCCTAAACTGAAGCACAGAAGCGGTGAATGCTCCAACACTGGAAGTTTTTACGAAGAGACTGGACAGCCATTTGTCTGAAATGGTATAGGGTTTCCTGCCTGAGTAGGGGGTTGGGCTAGATGACCTCCAAGGTCCCTTCCAACTTTATTATTATTATTATTATTATTATTATTATTATTATTATTATTATTATTATTATTATTATTATTATTATTATTATTATTATTATTATTATCCCTCGGCTAAGTGGAATCTTACTTCTGACCTCAGTGTGAGAAGATAATCAAAGCAGGCACAAAGTTGTGCAATTTATTATCCTCTTTTCACAATCTAGGCCACCCCTGAATTATTGGAGCTTTATAGGGTCAACAAAGATGCTGCTGGTATTTTTTTATGGGATAACGGGGTAAATTTCTGGAGACAGAGGAAGTCACAGTAGGGAAGAAGATATTGGTTTAAGAATGGCCAGTATATATTTTTCTATAGGCTAACAGGATTAGAACTCTTCAAATATCATTACATATTTTAACAATTGTGCTTGTGGATCAGAACAATATTATGGTATTATTTTGCAGTAAGAAATACAAGAAAAATATCATATTTATTTAAGAATCAAATGTAGTGCTTTATAAATTAGAAGCCGAAGGAATCTGACTTATTATAGATTATGTGAAGGTAGAATCTAATGGATCAAATTCTCCAGGTCATTATTGGGCTAGTTTATTCACTGTTTCATTTATTTATAAGCTACATTTTACAATCGTGTTCTTCCCCAAGTTTGCAAGAAAACAATTGTAAGATTTTTTTTTAAAAAAAAAATAAAATCCTGGACATAGTAGATTTGTACAGATAGTCTTCAACTTACAACAGTTCATTTAGTGACTGTTTGAAGGTACAACAGCATTGAAAAAAGTGACTTATGACCATTTTTCACACTTACAAGCATTGAGGCATCCCTGTGGTCATGTGATCAAAATTCAGATGCTTGGCAATGGGCTCATATTTATGACAGTTGCAGTGTCTGGAGTCATGAGACCCCTTTTGCAACACTTAACAACTGTGCTACTAACTTAACAACTGCAGTGATTCACTTAACAACTGTGGCAAGAAAGGTCATAAAACAGGGCAAAACTAACTTAAAAAAATATTTCACTTAGCAACAGAAATGTTTGGCTCAATTTTAGCTGTAAGTCGAAGAATACCTGTATTTATAATCAAATAATCTATCCTTAGTGACCAGCCAGTTGTAAAATAGAAATTGAAACATAATTCACATCAGAAAGTACAAATCAGTCAAACTGGAATAAACAGTAAATTATGAAACACTTAAAATCCAAGCAGAACAAAATATTCAACTACTGCCAATAGTAGATGTACTGCAAATTCTAATGTAATGACTGAGAACTCTTTCTAGAAACGATTACACCAAGGGGGAAAAAAAAAAGAAAATCTTGAACATACCAGAATTATTGCCAAACCCACCAGTAGCAGCAGTGAATCAGGAGATTATTGAGCATATACATACCTGCAGATAAGATGAGAATTTCAGTTGCAAAATATATCCCAAAAGTCAGATTCAGGTTAACCATGAATAGGTTCATCCACCAATTTATACAGTAATACCTTTTAAAAGTACTCATATAACCCATATATACTCATGGATAAGACCATCGATGAATAAACATACCCTCAAATGTATAACCCGAACTCCATAAAAATTCAGATCAGCTTATCCACGGGGGACTTGTTTTTCATGGTTTTTTTAGTTGAAAATTGGAGGCTCATCAGATGGGCTTATACTGAAAAATATACGGTAAGCAATACAGATTTCAAACTCTGATATTAAAGAAGAAATAAGATTCATGACAGCTATAATGATTCCACCCAGTTTTTCTGATCCTGGCTTAACGTACCTGATTATACATACATTAGTATACTTACTGTAGTCATCAGACTCTCTTGGCAACTGTTTAGTGTGTGAACTCTGCAACCCTACTCCAAAGTTGTCCTTTCTTGCACTGATAAATAAATAAGTAAATAAGTAAACAAACAAACAAACATGGAGGGCAACACAGCTGAATTAGTATGTTCCAAAGGAATATGCTTGTGGCTGCATAGAATACTCTCCGAATACTGTTTTCCTAGAAAAATCAAGGAATTATTTTTAAAAAAAATAGTCCCTTTCTTTCTTCATTGTGTTTCAACCACTCCTTTCCCCTGCTAAAGTGTGATCCATCTCTGTCAGAAGCCATCCTACCACACAAGATAAAGTAAAGCTATCCCTTAGAGACAAGCAAAGACAAATGCAAGAACATTTTACAGAAAGAAAATGATATTAAATTCTCTAGCTGATGTTATTATCCCTGTTTGGAAATGAATATTTGCTTCTCACTTTGATTCTAGCAGCCAATAATTGAATGTCCTACCTTCTCCCAGCTGTATTTGTTGGTTTGCCAGTGGATATTGGAGCTTAATGCCTTCTTTCTCTGGAATGATTATAAACTAATGTTCCCCTAGTATACAGCCCACATGCTTTGGCAGAAAGTACAAAAGAGATGCTTTTATACATTTTTAGAAAGGGTGGCGTATCTTAATGGAATAACGAAATCCATTATTTCTTGCTGAGAATTAAGACCAGACTGCTGATTATTATTTTTTTATGGATGTTTCACAAATCTCAAATTATGATAAAATGATTTCCCATAACTTTGAAAGAGAAGTGCCTTAAGCAGATGTTTGTAAAGTAAATTCAATGTCATTTGTACTTTGAAAACTGAATCAATCTACAGTATCTAAAGGTAACGGTTTCTCTTCTCCAGTCATGTCTGACTTTAGAGGGTGGTGCTCATCTCCGTTTCTTAATCAAGGAAGCCAGCATTGTCCAAAAACATTTCTGTGGTCATGTGGCCAGCACAACTTAATGCCAAGCGCATGGGACCTTCCACCAAAGTGGTACCCATTTATCTACTCACATGAAATTTGGCTTTCATGTATTGCCTGCATCCCGCGGATGGGGCTTTGCTTGTTTGTGTGGAATGGTTTCTGGCATGCCGCAGCCCGGTGCCATTCCACCGACCAGGGGTTGGGGACCCCTGGTCTAGTAAATAATAAAGAGAAGACAATGACAGCCACAATCTACAAAGTCTTCTTTGCTCTCCACTATTCTAGAATATCAGCCTTTTTGTACCTAGCTCATAAAAATCATTCCTAAAAACTAGAGTTTCATCTAGGCATACCTCAGATAAAGAGATGGTCAACTTGTTTATCTTACATTAACATGTGTTCAAAATACTGTATATTCCATGGTATAATGGAATGGCAGAATTTGGAAACTTTCATCACTAATTCTGCTTTATAGTCCAAGCCTAACTAAAAGCTTGCAAAACCATGTCTTTTTTATATTAATAGAGAATATGCTTTTAAATCAATATCTTTTCCACTGAATATGGATAGTATGCTTTTTCCATTAAAGAACCAAAAAAAAGAAGACCCAAAACAAAACAAAAAAAGAAAACCAACAACACCCTAATGATTTTAAACATTTTAGCACCCATTATGGTCATCAGGGCAACTTCAACCTTAGCAGGAAATAATATTTTCAAGGATATTTCTACATATTTGCTCCAAAGAATCCCTCACAAGCATTAGTTTATCCTTTTATTACTCTGAGACTTTTATTACTCTGAGACTTACTTCTTAAGAGTAATTTTAAATAGCACAGCTTTAAATATTTGGTTTTAATTGGTTTTACTTGGGTGGGGTTGTAAATGTGTTTATGTTTTTTAATATGCTGTGAGCCGCCCTGAGTCCCGTTGGGAGAAGGGCGGGATATAAATCAAATCAAATAAAATAAAATAAATAAATAAATAAATAAAGATGGATGGAAACAGCAGGGGACAGATCGAAGATGCCAAGAACAGATTCTTAGATGCACTCCATAAAGGATATTGGTAATACTGAAAGCTCTTAGTAGATGACAATACAATGATTTACCAAGAAATATAGATATTCTGAACAGCTATAACATTTTATCAAAATGTTGTACTGTATTAGTGCATTAACAGTTTTCAGCATACGTTTCTGGAGTTGATGACACAGAGGTTTTAGACAATGAAATCTAAGAAAATGCAGCTACAGTCCAAAACATAAGCACAATAATATTAAATATGTTTTCATGCAGCACTCTGGTGTGCAAAGGGCTGCTTATATAGCCCTTTTTGGCCACTTCATAAAGCAGCAGTATCTTTTCTCAAAACAACGAGCTGCCTTCCGCAATTGTATTATGATCTCAGGAAAAGAAATGTTCAGTTTAAAGGGTTGCTGAAGGACTTTTGTGCAAGCCACTGTGTTCTGAAATTTCTTATCCCCTTTGAATTTGTAATGGTGCAAACACAAGAATAAAAGAAAAGAAAACAATCAAAATTCCTTTCCAAGTATACAATTAAGACACCAAGGAAAAAGCTTTTCCTTCAGATTACTGACATATCTTTTGTTGAAACAGATAAGAATAGCTGATAGTTTCATAACTGTTGAAATTTCTTCTTTTGCTTTTCTGTGGAAGAAGTAGGAGAAAGAAGCAAAGGGAGAAACAAAAGTGAGATGTGATACTGCAAACCTTCTTCTTCCAGGTGTTATTCTTGCGCTATCCCAGGGTCAGCTTGTTGGCAAAGCCATCTCCATTTGGCTTGACCCAGGGTATCTTCAGGAGTGATTCCCACACATTTCATGTCCTCCTTGACACCATCCTCCACCATTTCTTGGGTCTGCTATGACATTGCTGGCCATCAGAGTCCATGGCTGTCCTTAGCACCGAGTCTTCTTCACTGCTTATGATGTGTCCATATCATCGGAGTCCTAGTGGACAATCACTTAAATAGGAGCCAGCCGTGTGCTGCAGCTGCCAAAAAGGCCAACACAGTGCTAGGCTGCATTAACAGAGGGATAGAATCAAGATCACGTGAAGTGTTAATACCACTTTACAATGCCTTGGTTAGGCCACACTTGGAATACTGCATCCAGTTTTGGTCGCCACGATGTAAAAAAGATGTTGAGACTCTAGAAAGAATACAGAGAAGAGCAACAAAGATGATTAGGGGACTGGAGGCTAAAGCATATAAGGAACGGTTGCTGGAATTGGGGATGTCTAGTCTAATGAAAAGAAGGACGAGGGGGGACATGATAGCCGTGTTCCAATATCTCAGGGGCTGCCCCAAAGAAGAGGGAGTCAAGCTATTCTCCAAAGCACCTGAAGGCAGGACAAGAAGCAACCGGTGGAAACTAAGCAAGGAGAGAAGCAACCTAGAACTAAGGAGAAACTTCCTGACAGTGAGAACAATTAACCAGTGGAACAACCTGCCTCCAGAAGCGGTGAATGCTCCAACACTGGAAGTTTTTAAGAAGAGACTGGACAGCCATTTGTCTGAAATGGTATAGGGTTTCCTGCCTGAGCAGGGGGTTGGACTAGATGACCTTCAAGGTCCCNAACCTAGAACTAAGGAGAAACTTCCTGACAGTGAGAACAATTAACCAGTGGAACAACCTGCCTCCAGAAGCGGTGAATGCTCCAACACTGGAAGTTTTTAAGAAGAGACTGGACAGCCATTTGTCTGAAATGGTATAGGGTTTCCTGCCTGAGCAGGGGGTTGGACTAGATGACCTTCAAGGTCCCTTCCAACTTTACTCTTATTATTATTATTATTATTATTATTATTATTATTATTATTATTATTATTATTATTATTATTATTATTATTATTATTATTATTATTATTATTATTATTATTATTATTATTATTCTGGCCACCACGATAAGAAATGTTGAGATTCTGGAAAGTGTGCAGAGAAGAAAACAAAGACGAAAGGGGTGTGGAATCTAAATCGTATAATGAACGGTTGTGGGAGCTAGGTATGGATATCAAAGAGAAGGATTTTGGGGGCACAACTTTATTCTCAACCTCTATTACCTGGGATATGATCTCCCCTATACCCAAATAAACCATGTCAAATGATTTGTAGATGAGTAGAGAGTTTAATGGGAAGAAGAGAATAAATGGCAAAATAAAACAAATTCTAAATGGTGTTGGTTGTTGGGGCTTGTTGGTTCCAAGAGAGCCTGGAACAAGATTCTTGAACTAGAGCTAGGATGATTTAATACTGGAATTCATTGTTTTGTAGCCTGCCCATAACCTATTTTTACAGTATTTGAGTTTTCTTGCCAGTTCCAACTCTCTCCAATCAGTTTGATTTCTGTATCACTTAGAAGTCTCAGAAAGTGGAGTTTCATCTATATACTGACTGACGTAACTGAAGAAGGTAGATGAATTCATGGATTAAATGACTTTATTTAATTGCAAGCTGATTTGTACAATCTCTGAGGAAATAAAATTGACATGCAAAACTGTAGGAGAAATATACACCCGAAATCTTTTCCAAAACAATTTTACATAAACAGGGAACTAAATGGATTCATGCTGAAACACACATGGAGTTGCAACAGTAAGGAATAGTTGGGTCAGTCTGTAACTCAAGATGGAGAGGAGACATCAAGGAAACTAATCTGAAATTAATTAGTCTACAAGAATATAATTAGGAAACGTTACATTGTTAAATTAATATTTTGTCATGGTTAATTCAGGTATGTGGTCCTTGGTGCTCTCTGAGCTTGGTTGATTTCTTGTAAACATCTCCTTACCCAAACTGCGTAACATCAGCTAGCACTGATGACATTACCTAGTTTGCAGATGTAACATCTGCAAGAAAACAACCAAGCTCAGAGAGCATCAAGGATCCTTAATATCAATACTGACCTACAAATATTCTCCTTTATTAATTCAAATATGTTTATGTGACAAAGGATTTCATGTCTATGTAGCAGGTTATGATTAATTGGTACCAAATAAGAGTGTCACTTGGCTCAGATAATGTAGCAGGAAACTCATACTGCTTTTTGAAAGAAGAACAAACATTACAAGTGCTTGAGGTTTGCCAGCATAAATTAAAATTTTAAGCAGTACAGACTTTTGAATCAGCTAAGCAGACTTTCAGGGACAGCAAGATGTCACTTGGCATTCTAAAAACCAGAATTTGGATTCTTGATAACTCAAAGAAGAAAATTCCATTGCTGAAGGCCTCCCTACTGTTGAACAAAAGTGACACACTTTGTCTAGGAGAAACAGCAATGTATTCATTGTCTTTGGATAGAAATAATGACCCAGTCCTCCCTTACTAGAATGATGTAGACTTTTACCAGATATTTCAGGACAAACATGAATTGATTAACATAGCCCGACAAAAACAGGGAGCCCCTGCATCTAATAATATCTGAAGAAAGGCAGTCAAACTATTAGACCAGTGTTTCTCAACATTGACTACTTTAAGATGGGTGGGCTTCAACTGCTAGAATTCCTCAGTAGCTGGCTGGGGAAATTCAGGAATTTGAAGCCCTTCCATTTTAACGTGATCAAGGTTGAAGGACACTGAATTAAACACTAAGCATGACCATTTGGGGATTTGAAAGTAGGATTAGATGAAAAAATCAGTTTATCAGAGATGCATTTTATGAGCACGGTGATGTAGCAAAATATTTTTCGGCTTATATATAGACTTATAGTAAGCTATAGCAAATATTTTGCAGCTGGTTCTCACCGATTCTCCTTAGACATGTAAAGAACAATTTTCATCTTAAGGTGAAATGATCTCCCCTATACCCAAATAAACCGTGTCAAATGATTTGTAGATGAGTAAAGAGTTTAATGGGAAGAAGAGAATAAATGGCAAAATAAAACAAATTCTAAACGGTGTTGGTTGTTGGGGCTTGTTGGTTCCAAGAGATCCTGGAACAAGATTCTTGAACTAGAGCTAGGATGATTTAATACTGGAATTCATTGTTTTGTAGCCTGCCTGTGGTACAAATGAAGTTGTGTACAGAAGGATGGAAACTAGAGGTATTGCAAACCTTTGTGGCCTTCAGCCCAAATAATAGTGCTGAAATCTCATGAACTCTTTCAAAGAATTCAGAACTGTGATCCAGCATGTACTAAAATCTGACAAATCCAGACAGACGGCGAGCTTTGTCCCAAGCATTTTTTCCAGTTCTCAGATGGGGAGAGCTTCTTGATGGTTGATTTCTCTGGTACTTCTTTTGTAGAATATTATTTCTGTCTTCATGATGTAACATGTGGGGAAAACTTTGGTGAGAACTGGTTGTACATGGCTATACTTAATAACCCACAATGTACAAACAATCAAAAACCCATCTTCTTAGCCCAACCAGTTAAACAAGGAACCTCAATCTTTTCCTGAAATGTTCACAACTGGGTTTCATCAGGCTGTGTCCCATCTTCCTTGATATCTTCCTCATTTCTGAAAACCCTGCGGAGTGCAAGTTTCATGGATACTCTGGATCGGTCCTCTTTATTTCTCCCAGCCAGGAAATAAAGGATTGGGTTGATGCTGCTATTAACTGCAATACACATGTCACATATCCATGAAGAAATAATAATAGGTTCAATCCAGGGCTGAATACTATACAAAATATCGAAAAAACTGTTATCCGGCAATTCATTTACTATCGGTGAGTTCAAAAGCATGTATTCCAATGCCCATGCTGCATCTTTGTTTATTAGCATACCATAAACAATAATGGAAAATATGGTCAGAGGCAAACGAAGTACAATGAAGCACACAAGTGCAAGCAAGGCTACCGTCAACACTTTTTTCCGCTTTTGCTGGCGTGGTTTAATGAAAATTTTAACAAGCAGGATCAAAGTGAAAATGACCACCATTGGGTAAGAAATCAGTGAACTGAAAATAATCTGAAACATTAGAAAAGCCTTTGAAAATGTCATCACCATTTCCAAGGCAAAGTACACAAAGGGCAGAACCCAAGTGATAACACACACAATGAGGGACAATTTGGGTGGCCGACGGCATTGATGCCAAATTGGAAAAAGCACTGATACGCAATGGTCCATGCTGATGCTTATTAATAAAAGTTGACTAGTATTGTGCATCACAAAATAAAGACTGGAAAAAATTAAATATATTCTAAAATGATATGCATTAAGAAACTCAAATATTTTAACCAAAACTTTCAGTATAAGTATTCCAGAATCAGCCACATCCAAATTCAAGACATAGATGGAGAAAGAATTTGTTTTCATATGGAAACCAAGAATCCAGATGACTTTTCCATTCCCTACAAGTCCCAAAAAGCAGACAGTAAAAAGAATGACATGAAAGATGACAAACTCAGTAAAATTTGGAACACTTTGAATTAACAAATTTTCAATTTCAGTCCAATTGAGATTGTTGTAGGTATTATATTCCACATCTGAAGCAAATAATGACGGATTTAGATTGTCATAGGTATTATATTTTATCTCTGAAGGAAATAATGAGTTAGGGCCAAACTCTGCCATTCTGCTCAGCTCAATTTTCTTTTCTTCTGTATTTTTCTTTTTCTCCTTTTGTACATAAACACCTGCAGAGAGAGGCAAAACAGGCATACAATGTCCTAAATTATGCTAAATTATTTTCAGAAATGTTTTGCAGCCAAAAGAAAACTGTTAGATCGCGCAGGCAGTAAGACACGAGTCGAGTGACAGTCAGCTCTCGGTTTATTGGCAAGGCATCAAGTAAATCCGGACTGGCTCTCTGGGCCAGGGGAGCCCTCTTTTATGGGATTCCCCTGGCTTGTAATCACACAATTCCATTGGCTGGCAAGACCCTGTTGCTAGTTAGCCAACCAGCAA